CGGGAACCAGGGAGGCGGAGATTGCGGTGAGCCAAGATTGCGCCACTGCACTCCAGCCTGGGCGACAGAGCGAGACTCTGTCTCAAAAAAAAAAAAAAAAAAAAACAAAGAAACCAATAAAAAATATCTGGAAGATGATTAGTTACTGAGTATATGTTCCATTAGTCAAAAAAGGAAAACAAAAGAGAGGTTAGAAAGCTTTCTGAGGCTGGGCGCGGTGGCTCACGCCTGTAATCCCAGGATGTACAAATCATTAACTCTGCTTCTACCTTAGGAAATTAGAAAAAGGAAAGCAAATTAAGTCTAAAGGATGCAAAAGAAAGGAAACAAAGATCAAACTGGAAATTAATGAAAACAGAAAAACAGAAAAACACCTATTAAGCTGTCTTTTTGAGGCAATCAGTAAAATCAATAAGCTTCTAGCCAGAAAAGAGTGGAAAAAAAAAACAAAACATTTTTTGTATCAATATCAAAAATGAAAGACTTGGCATCACTACAGGGTCTGTTGCTCTTAAGAGAATGTAAAGGAATAGTATGGTATAATAACTTCTGCCAGCAAATGTGATTAATTTTATATGAAATGGGCAAGTTCCTTGAAAGACAAACCATTCATACTCACATAAGAAGTTTTTAGAACCTGCTGAGCTCTGTATCTATTAAATAGATTTGATGTGTAATTGAAAACCTTCCCACAAAGAAACTACATGCCCATCTGGCTTCACTGGAGTCTCTGCCACACATTGAAGGAAGAAATAATAGCAAGTCTATATAAAATCTCCCAGGAATTTGAGAGGAAGGAATACTTCTGATTTTGTTATGTTGGTATTACTCTGATAGCAAAACCAAAGATGTTACAAGAAGAAAATAGATGCAAAAATGAATATGAATATAGATGTAAAAATTCTTAACAAAATTTTAGCAAATCCCATTTGAGAGTATATAAAAAGGACAATATGGCCGGGTGCAGTGGCTCACGCCTGTAATCCCAGCACTTTGGGAGGCCAAGGCAGCAGATCACGAGTCCAGGAATTCAAGACCAGCCTGGCCAACACAATGAAACCCCGTCTCTACTAAAAAGACAAAAAAGTTAGCTGGATGTGGGCGCAGGCACCTGTAATCCCACCTACTTAGGAGACTGAGGCAGGAGAATTCGCTTGAACCTGGGAGGTGGAGGTTGCAGTCAGCCGAGATCGCGCCACTGCCCTCCAGCTTGGACAACAGAGTAAGACTCCATCTCAAAAAAAAAAAAAAAAGAAAAGGACAATCCATCATGACCAATTGGCATTTATACAAGGAATATGTAATTGGTTTAAGAATAGAAAATTGATGGAATCCAGCTATTATCAAACTAAAGAGAAACCATGTGATCATTTCAATAGATACTGTAAAAGTATTTTACAAAATCCAACATCCATTCCTGATTTAAAAAATAACTTGGCAAACTAAGAGTACAAAAGAACTTCCCTGACCTTACAAAAGACATCATGAAAAAGTTACAGTCAACATCATACTTAATGGTAAAAGACTGGATGCTTTCCCTAAGATTAGGAGGAAGGCACATATGTTCACTCTTACTGTGTTCAGTAATAATACTGCAGGTTCTTCCCGGTATAATTATGCAAGAAAAATAAATAAAAGGATCTAGTTTAGAACGGAAGAAGTAAAAGTTTTTGTTCACTGTTGACATGATCACCTCTGCAGAAAACCTAATAAATCTGGGGAAAAAGCAATTATAACGAATAAGTGAGTTTATCAAGGTTGCAAGATCAAACTGTAAAAACAACATATTTTTCTGCATTAGCAACAAAAAATTGGAAATTATATTTTGTTAGTATCATAAATATGAAATGCTTAGGGTGACACTTAACTAATATGTGCAAGATTTGTACACTAAAAACTACAAAACGTTGCTGAAAAGAAAGTAGACCCAACTAGATGGATATATTTTGCTCACAAATCAGAAGATGTAATGTAGTTAGGATGTTAGTTTTCCTCATACTCATCCATAGATTCAACACAACTGCAGTCAAAATCCCAGCAGGCTATTTTGTAGAAATTGAGAAGTTGATTCTGAAATTCATATCGAAATGCAAAGGACCTGGAATAATTAATTCATTTCAAAAATGAAAAGCAGAGTTTGGGGACTCACAGTACCTGATTGCAGACCTGGTGCGTTTGGGGTCACTGTGGCGTGGGGTCCCAGATGGGAGGAAGCTTCCTGAGAGGTAGTGCCTAGTTGAGTCTAAGAGCACGAGGAGGTCGGTGAGCTTGTTGGAACCCGTGGTGGAAGGATGGGCTGAGGATGGAGAGCAGGTGCACAGGGGAAGGGGTTGGTCAGAGTTGCTCTCAGGCTGTCATGGATGCTTTTTAGCTTTTCAGAACTTCACTGATGCTGCTGTTTTACTTTTCAAAAAGATCGAAGCTGTACAAGTAGGTCACCTGTTTCCTCTTAAACAAGAAATTAAAAATACTTAAGTTTTGTTTCTTTTTATTTTTCTTTTTTCTTTTTTTTTTCTTTTTTGGAACAGAGTCTTGCTCTGTCACCCAGGCTGTAGTGCAGTGGCGTGATCCCGGCTCACCGCAACCTCAGCCTCCTGGGTTCAAGTGATTCTCCTGCCTCAGCCTCTCGAGTAGCTGGGATTACAGGCGCGTGCTGCCGCACCTGGCTTATTTTTGTACTTTTAGTAGAGATGGGGTTTCGCTGTGTTGGCCAGGCTGGTCTCGAACCCCTGACCTCGAATGATCCGCCCGCCTCGGCCTCCCAAAGTGTTGGGATTATAGGCGTGAGCCACTGCGCCTGGCCAGAGTTTCATTTTTAAAAATAGCATTCCTAGCAGTCCCAAGCATTAAAATAAATAGTTGTGTGGAGATTTAAGTGGCGGAAAGAGCGTTTCCTCTAAGGAGGTGGTTCCCCCGCTTGTGAGTGGAGTGAATGTGGGTTAGGTTTGTGGCCCCACAGTCTGTCTGGGACTTGAAGAAAGTTTCCGATTGGCCTGCAGTGTCTCTTCCTGCTGGGCCCCGTCACCGGCTGTGCTTGAGTCTTTTTTATTTCCCCTTGAGTTAGCACAGTTAGTATCTATGGAATGGCCTCTCCTCGGGGAAGGGGGCTGCCATGTACTGATACCAGCTGGGGCATCAGGGAGCAAGGAGACAGGTGCCCACCACAGCAGTGCCCACCGTGGTTCTGCAGACTGTCGGAGAGTGGCGGTGCATGTGTGAGGCCCTGTGGCTTCTATGAGCCAGTGCTGCAGGCAAAGTGGCACCAAGGCTAGGAGCAGACGTATAGCCGTTTGTCCCTCCCCGTCACCACCTGGGCCAGAGGCCATTGGTTCTGATTTCTAACAGCAGAGGCTGCTTTTGCCTAACCTTGAACCTCATGAAAGGAAACTGTACTCTGTGCTTTCAGTTGTGTCTGGCCTTTTTTTTTTTTTTTTTTTTGAAAAGGGGTCTCGCTCT